ATGTCGCAAACGTGTTAAGTTTTACATTTATTTCACTTAAAATAATCTTTATTTCGCTTGAAAAATTATAGAATGAAATAAAATAAACAAAGTTTTATCAACGTTTTCAAAACTCGTTATTCATTTCACGACAGGGGCGGAGCCATATTTAACACAGTACGTGTGACGTCACTAGCACTCGTCACTGCATTTGAAATAAAAATGAGCTTTCAAACAAGTACATCGAGCTCGCTTTGAGGCTTTGCCTTTTTCATATTAATTTCTTCAATTTAAAGCATTTTTAGTTTGGGCACAGTACTGTTGGTCGTTTTAGTATATAATTCAGTTGTGTTTAAAAAGCTTGATTCTCGAAACTAATAAGGATCAATTTTGGTTACTTTATTAGTTCATCCCCTATTCAGGGTCTTTCAGAGACCCTGCACTAGCTAGTATTACAGTGTCGAAGTACAACATGTCCTAATAAATAAATCCCTACTATGAAATAACAATAAATGTAGATTTAACCACAAACTTTGACACGTGATCTTTTGTTACGAAATATGTTGTGCTGATCCGATCTGTAGGGAAAGTGTACAGTATTGTTCAACCTGTCCCAATAAAATCAATAGTAACCTTTAACCTAGTGACACGGGAAAAATGTAAACAAACTGAAACATTCTAATAACAAGATAAGGTAAGGATTATTGCAGAATAATTTTGGAATAAATATCAACATAGCAAGCTTCCATTTTTTTGTTTAATAATGATCACTACCATACAATAATGTTTTTTTTTCTTTTTTGTTGCATAAATACAATAATAACATGATTTCGCGAGAAAGCAACCGGTTTGTTTACAGGATGAACATCACTAAATTATTACCATTTTAATTTCCGTGTATGTTTAAAACTATTAACATTTTGAGTTATTAATAAATTGTAAGTTTTAAATTTCTGTGTTAAATTGAAAGTATTCATTATTTCTTGCAGTGCACTTGTTAGTTGCAATGTCAATGGTCACCTCAATATATGAGAAAGAAAAAAAACAACAAGTGGATCAGATTATTTTAGACTACAGACAGGCTTTCAATAAGGTGAGTCGTGAGAAAGTAATGCTTAGAATACATGACTGGAATCATAGGTCAAACTTAAAGATGGAACAAAAGTTTCGAGATAACGGGCTGCAGTCTCTTGTGCCAAATGGCAGCAGCTTGAACCCCATCCCATAGTCCTATAAATATGACGTCGCTTTGAGATATTTTTGCTTCTGGGCAAAGCAACAGTCTTGACCGACATTAAGTATAACAAGCCTGTAATGTCTAATATATTGGACTACCCATCCCAGTACCCTCGGGTGTCACCCCAGACTTGGTTTCAGGACCCCTCCTGTTTCTCGCCTATATAAATGACCTCTCACAAAACATAAATTCCCAGGTCCGCTTGTTTGCAAATGTCCATAGAAGAGCAGTCTGATGGATCATCAGATGTCACATATAATTGGTATATACATACCGTTTATGGTCTTCTAATTTTTGGTATAAATGATCTATCTTCCATTTGTGTTGAACCTCTTGTGAGGACAAAGACAGTGTATTGTCATTTTTGTGAGGGGTCACTTGCGTCATGATACAAAAAAAAGATATTTACTGTATTGCATTTTTGCTTATCCAGCTTTTGTGTTTGATAGGTAGATACCTTGGATGGTTCTCTTAATTACCTTTGTTCAAGTAAGAGGACACAAATGTAAGGTCACCTTAGTGCTAAAAGTATTTTTTTATACTTTTGCTTACCATACTATATTCCTTGACTGATGTCTTTCATTATTTAGTTGGCAAATATCTTGTAATATGGTCCTATGATTTTGGGCAAATGTCTCTACTTGTTAAGAGACTGATAAAAACTGTTTTTAGCTCACCTGTCACAAAGTGACAGGGTGAGCTTTTGTAATCGCTTTTTGCCCTGGGGTCAAAATGGGCCATTGATTTTCTTTACATGCATATAGTAAAAACTTAAATAATCTTCTTTTAAAGAACCCAAATAGCTAGAGCTAAGATATTTAGCATGGAATATTTTCTAATGAGTGTCTACCAAGTTTGTTCAAATAAAAGCCCTTGGGTCAAAATTGGCCCCGTCCCGGTGGTCAATGATTTTCCTTATATTTGTATAGCAAAAACTTAAAAAAACTTCTTTGAAAAAACCAAAATAGCTAGAGTTTAGATATTAAGCATGAAACATCTTCTAGTAAGTGTCCACAAAGTTTGTTCAAATAAAAGCCCTTGGGTTAAAACTGGCCCCACCCTAGGCTGTCATTGTTTTTAACTATATGTGTATAGTAAAAACTTAAAATACTTTCTTTTAAAAAACCCAATGAGCTAGAGCTTAGATGTTTAGCATGAAACATCTTCTTATGGGTGTCTTCCAAGTTTGTTCAAATAAAAGCCCTGGGTTCAAACTGGCCCGCTCCAGGGGCCTATATACAGGTGAGCGACCTCAGGGCCATCATGGCCCTTTTGTTTATTTTACACTTTCGACCATGCAACCTTTATGACTGAAGTCTCTCATATTTAGAAGCTTCAATTTGCCTTCAGTTGTCCTCTTACTTTGGTTCATTGGAGTCAAGGTCACTCTGGTGCTTAAAACACCCCGATTTTATAGTTCTGCTGTTTTATTTATTGACTGATGAACATTGAAATACATTAACAAATCTTCAAGTTTTGGGAGCTTTCATCACCTTAACCCTTTACCTCATATATACGCGAAACAACACACTTTAGAACCCCCCCACCTTTTTTTAGGCCTGAAATAGTGAAAAAATGTCCTATTTGGGCTCAAAACACATGTGTTCGTTTGAGAAATGTTGTTAAAGAAAGTGAGCACTTTTTCGGCACCGCACCTCATCACCAAGAAGACTTTGGACTTGTGAGAGGCTTAAGATGACCCCAGGTCGATCATAAGGTAATGTATAACCAACGCTGAAAAGCCTTTGACTCTAATTCTCAATCCCTTGAGAAGTTGTAGCACTTTGAGATAAATTTTGATGGAAAATCAAGGCAAAATAGTGATTTTTGGCAATTTTAAGATGTCCCCTCGTTGCCATGGTAACAGGAAATTTAAGACTGAGCATGTCATTAGAAAGGCAATGGTCCAGTCAACATTTGTGCCAAGTTTGATTAGTATTGAAGCATTTTTCATAGTTTCATAGCAGTTTGAACTTGTAAGAGGTGGCTTTTCAGTGAAAATGGCCATTTTTCACAATATGCTCGTGGGGGGAAAGGGTTAAGCAATATTTTTATTGGCTTGGTCTTGGTGTATAACAGAACAAGCAAAAGATCATAGACACATCCTTGAATCTATTCCTGAAACATTAACCATTTCTAAGCAATGATTATGTAGAGTTTCTTGTTCAATGAAACTTGAACCCACACAGCTATCAATCATTATATTTCTAGTCCTACCCTGAGTATCAGTTATTATGGTACCCCTTGGCCCTTCTTTATTACAAAATCTGTTACTGATATTATAATCTTTTTTGTTTGATTTTGTATTGACATAAAATAATTATATTTTGAATGATAAATTGTGTTGTTTTGTTATTGTTTTTTTTGTTTTTTTTTTTTGGGGGGGGGGGGGGGGGAGGGGAGGGTTGGAGGACGTTTTGATAGTACTAAGAGGGTAATAAGTTTATAATATCTAGTGCTTAATATCCTTGAAAAATATTTTCAAAATAAAAGGCTGACAAATACCTATATTACTAATCAAGCCAGTAATCCAAGCAAACAAGGTGACCTAATGACCTAAACAGGTGCATGTGTTCTACAGCACTTTGTGGCATGTACTTCATACATTCACTATACAGGTATCATAGATGAGTGTCGATTTTCTAGATGCAGAATACTGTACAGATAATGTTATACTGTAAGATAATTATCAGCAGGAGTGCATAATTTTCATGCAAGAAATATTTCACTTGGATAGGCCAAGCAAAAACTGATAATACATGAATAGGCAGTTTTATTGTCAAATGACTCAATGCAAGTTTTTGTTACCATCCATTTAATTGCTTCATCTAGTTTTGAGTCCAATGTAACAGTGTCCTATGTAACTTTTCTAACAAATTGAAAAATAAGTCACATAATTATATGCCATTATATTATAAAGAAGCAAAACTTTTAAATTTTGTATTTTGTGTTACTCATGAGTACTAAGTTAAGAAATACTGATAGCAGGTAATTACATGTAATCATAAAGTCATTCTACATGTATTTTGCAGTAATTTTTCAGATCTTAAAAAAAATATATCACTGGGACAATAATTTAAAATGTAACTTCTTTAAAGCTACAAACCACCAGATGAGCTAAAATATTTCAAGAAATTCAGTCTTTACTACTTTAGAAAAATGTATTAAGATCTTAAGAAAAGTAAAGAGATTCAATATTTATTAATTATTTACATGTTATGTGCGATTAATGACTGATTTTGCAGTATCATTCACTTATAATAATTCCACTGTGTTATCAACGCAGTAAAAGGGGTATTTATATATATTTTGACCTCTTTTTGGTAATTTATGTGGATTAATTGTAAGGCTGTATGAAATGTGTAAATTACTTTCTTTGTTCACTTTGTAATATTTTACTTTTAGATACATTTTCAAATTTTTTATGAAAATTAGCATGAATCTGAAAGCATGCTTCTTTAACTGCAACAATAATAAACATACAGTACTAAATTATACTAAATTATACAATATATAACATCTAGATATTTAAATTTTAATGCTTCAGATATGTAGGAAATAACTGACAGACAAAAAACATTTTGATTTCAGAAATTCAAATCTTATTTTGTGAAGATCTTCGTGCTGTTTTTCATTTACACAAAATATATAATGCTGTATCATTTATATGTTGTTTCCTATATGTTTGAGGCTTCCTTCTTATGAAGGAAACATAAAGATGTCATTAAAAATGAAATATAAGCTTGTATATAGCCAAACATTGAATTATTGCTGTCAGAAATAATTTGTAACGAGGAACTGAACTTATCAGGTAAATCTGCCAAGATCTAAGTCTGTGAGAGGCTTGCCAATCAGTCTTATAGAGAAGCTTGCAATCAGTATCAGTGAGAGGACTGTCTGATTCAGGTAGATTATTCTGTGATTTTCAAAGGATTAAATTTTGATAATTTTTTAATTTATAATTTTTATCTGATATATTTTTGGCTTCAGGTAATTAATTGGTTTTAAAGTTACTTTAAACGTTTTCTTTAAGATTTTGTGGAAATTGTTTTATTGAAATGTATAAACTGTTGTGTTTTTGATTATTTAAAATTTATTGTAAAGATTATACATAAAATCTGTGTTCATGTATTATATATTGTTTAGTGATTGAGACAGGTACCCTGGAATGATGAGCTTAATTATTGTTTCAGTATTTTAAACTTGAAACAATGCTTTCTTCACTCAAATTTGCAATTAGTTAAAGTGATAGATCTACCACTTGAGTTTTTTTTTACATGTAGGGACTGAAAATAATTTTTCGAGATAAATGCTCGATTTGATGTTATTTGGTCTCAACCATTAACTTGTGTGCAAAATTTCAGGTCACTAAAATGCTGACTTTCTGTTTATCCAGAATCAAATTGGGATATGAATTAAGCACCAAAATTTTTCAGTTTATGTCATTATAAGTATATTTCTCATTATTTTTTTTGCATATCATTCTGTTTTAATGTACCAGATGATACAGAGTATTATGTAAGAAATTTAAACTTAATTTATTTGTAGATGTTTGTGGACCATACTACAATTATTTTATAATTACAAAATTTCAGTTTATGTATTACTTGTCAAGAATAAATAAAAAATGAACATCTGGTTATTATTTTTTTACATTTAAAGAATCCTCTTAAAGGGCACACAAACATTTGCCATAAACTACTTGTTACACTAACAAATAATGATTACAACTAAACTTTATAAGTTGATCATGACCTTTCTGTACTGGACTTACAATTTGGAAACTTTTTATCAATTAACCAGACTGTCACTGTCACAATAAGCCATTGTGTTTATTTTTTAATAAATCATCATCTTAGTACAGTAACAAGTTATCTCCTTATATGATTTAATAGGAGATAACCTGTTATTGCACTAAGGTGACGAAATGTCAAACAACATTAATTTTATTGCTTAACTTTTAACTAGCTAAATATCTTAAACAGATTAAAAGTGTTCATGTGTCAATCTGTACAAACTCATAATTCAACAGATTTAGGGAAATTTTGAGACAAATTGTATTGACTGAATTAGCAAACAGTACAGACCCTGATCAGTCTGCATGGATGTGTCGGTTGATGTTGGTCTGTACTGATAGCATAGGTTAAATTCAGTCACTGCAAGATGGCTACAAGTAAGTATGGCTAATAATTAGGCAATTAAAATTTTATGATCTTTAACATTGCATTATATTGTATAAATTGGAAGGAAGTAAATTACGCTGTCTCAATAACCATTTTACAAAACAATGATAACTGTCTTTTGGTCAGGACAATATAGTTATTAAATGGTGCCTTGAAAAGAAACAAGTTCTTACTATAACTTACTATAAGATTATTGTTATGTTTTAAAATTTAGATTTTAAAATATCATTCCACATAGGAGGAAAAAAAATCTTTTATATTTAGTAACCCCTTAAATGAGAAAAATGAGAAAAACTTATTTTAAGGTAATCAATGTTTCAAGCCATTTAGATTTTGTAAGTTCTTTAATTGCCTGCCTATTAATTATAATACTTTGGTGATATCAGTTATCAGTTACTTATGTGACTTAAAAAGATAAATGGCTTAAAGGGACTCTAACTGATGTTTTTGTGTTGTTTTTTTTTTTACTTGAAAGAACTGGAAATATTTTTTTTAGACTTGTGTACAAATTAATGAAGGTCATACATGAGCCTAACAATTTGTGTGAAAAATATCAGATCTTTTCTTCACTAATCTGTTTTCCCTTAAAAACCATTTTTGTAATGCAAAATGAATAAAATAATATGGAAAAAAAATGAAACAAGCAAAAAGAAAAAAATACTAAAAATTGATTTTCAATTTAAATCTGTGTTTTTTCTTAATTTCTTAACTTTCGCAAATTTTTCCATTTTAAATGCATCACTTGATCATTATTGTGTGTTAATTTCAAACTTTATGTTTTTAGCCTAGCTTTTTGACCTCAGTGGAGCTCCTTTAAATAACTGTGTGATATAGATACTTTGATAAAGAAGTTTTTGTTCAGTTCATGTGGTGATTCATCTACATTATTTAATACCATGCATTTATTAATTGTAATTAATATTTTTGACAGTCAGTTCTTTTGGATTTAATGTGAATTTAAGTTGTGTTTATTGATTTGATTTATGAATTAATTGAGTTTAATATAATGATTGGGGATTTAAATTCTTGACCAATGTCTTAAAGTGGAAAACTTCAATCACTGTGTTATGTAAGATTTTGTTTTAATACTTATACAGACAGTTAATTGTGATCACAGGAGAAACATAACAGTACGGGCAGGCTTTTAATACTGAGCTCAGTGTCAGAGCTTGCTGGTGAGAACTTCAGATTCTATTGAAGTGGACCCGAGTAAAAGACCAGTGAATATCAAAATTAATGAAACAGATTCAAATTGGCACATTCTGCGCCAAATAATCCTACAGTCTGCACTGTTTGCTATTTTGAGTCACAACATAATATGAAAATTACCCTTTAAAATAATGAATGGTTTCATTGACATTAGTCCATTTATAGATATTAAGCTGGGTACTCGGGTATTTGGATAAAAGACAATTAATAATTGTAAAACTAATTGAGGAAAAAACAGCATGACAATAATTATTATTAAATGCACTTGACTATAATGCTCTGCAGTCAAAGAGATTCCGATTTAAACTTGCCTTTAATTGCTCATTGCGGAATCAGACTGAAAATTATACAGACTGAATTGATTACTGTAAGTATAAAATATTCTATTCCGAAAATGAATAAGATAAAAGACTTTTGATTGACTTTAATTATAATGATGATGGCAATGTATTTGAAATGTTTAGGCCATAATTTAAGAACTACCAAAATAACATTAATAAAAAGACTGCCAGGTTCTTTTTTAAAATTCTAATACCACCGATACATTTCCAACGATATTTATAGAAATTTCTGTGAGTCACATGGGTTATTTATTATTTCTACATAGGAAATAAAATCAAATCCCACTTTTTATGACTTTCTACATTTGCACACTAGGATCGGTATATAATACTGGTATATGTCACTTTATCTCTATGATAATTATGTATCTCTCTGATAATTTATATAACCCTAACAGTTCACAATGTTTATAGAAAAAGTAACAATAATTGGGTTAGGAAACAATAATTGACAAAACCAATTAACAAAGAAAAGTGATATTGCTGATGTATAGAAAAAGTTTTGGCAAGTTAGCGATAAATCTGAATCCAAGAGAATTTTTTACAGTAACCTGTCACTGTGTATTATTTACTGAATACATGTATTTATATATGAGTAAATTAAATTTTAGCATTTAATTTAATGTATTAATTAATGTATTAATTAATGTATGCAGATCTTTGCATTAAATTACAATGTATATGGAAATTGTATGAATCAATCAAAACAAGTGTTTTTCTGTGTTTGCAATTTATTCAAGCAATCTTTGTACACATTTTCAATTTGTCTGTAAAGTTATTGTGACTCAGAGTGCTGATAATCCCTGAACTTTTTAACTCTTGAACACACCTGGGAACACTTGGCAGACCACAGGTGATCATTCCAGACAAAATGAAAAATCACATTTTTACAAAATTTCACTCTTTTGATATGTATGGGTGAGTCATATAAATATACAGAAGCTTTTTTTGCCATAACTCCAGGCTGCAAACTGTCAATTATAAAACACTGATTATGTCTACAAGTCGGTGATAAATGGAAAGTAAACTGTTAAATTCCAAGATGTATTACCTTGATATCTTCATGAGTATGGCACACCTTTACCTAGTACTGTAAACAGTGAATGGATTGTGAAGAAATTAAATAGAAAAGGTTACTGGAAAGTGGGTTATCAGAATTTATCTTTTATAAAAAAAATAGTATGACTAAATTAAATTTATTTATTAAGAAAAAAATAATTTGCCATATCCCTTTAAAATTCTTTTTTTCTGATGCACTTGTGTTTCCAATTTGTGTTTTATCTTTTTTTATTTTTGTTTTCGTCAACATTTTTTCTAGGAAAGTCTAGTACCATCATTAGTGTAAGCAACATCATCATCACTTTGATTCTTGATTCATTATTAAGTTAAATATAAATTTAAGGTAATTTTATATGCCCCCCCCCCCCGGTCTCCCCACCCACTCCCCCTGGTCTCCCCACCCCTCCTGATTATGCTGGAATCTGATCTCAGTCAAACTTAATATCGGTAATTTGGGCAATCCGGTCCCGTTTATTTGGGGCATATATTAATTAATTAATTAATAAAAAAAGCATTAATTGGAGGTAATTGATACATAGTTGTACAGATCATATAGATCCTCATATACCCACATTTGATACATGTAACATAACTTAACTGATAAATGCCATGGGTATCCGACGATGTGGAACCATGGTTCCAATTAGCTTTGTTGCATATTTTGTTATAGTTTATTTCTACTTTGACAATTTTATACTCAATTTTTGTCCAGATCAGTGTAATTTAAAGTGTTGGAAGTATCAACATGTAACTTCATAAAAAATACCCTTAGATAACAAATTATGGAGCACAGGGTTATTTAAGCAAAGTATGAGAAATTCATTTATGAATAGGTAGAAGGGATAAAACAAGCTAGTTATGAGGAAGCCCTTAAGTCTACTAGTCAAAAGGTCGATGTTTTGAATGAAATCACAGAAAATTTACGTCTAGACACGGACCATCTTAATAATATTGTAGGCAGGTACAATGACACCGTATCAATATTGAACGAAGAGGTTGAACAGTTAAACGTAAAGAGTATCTCAAATAATATGAGGGTATTTGGTCTATCCGTCGGAAATGACTCAACTTATCCGGATTTAGTTAAATTGGTAATTGATAAAGTATTGAACAT